GCCACCCTGCCTCCCTGTGCTGCTGCGCCCCTCCTGCTTCCGCCTCATCCCACCTGCTTCTGCCTTTGCCTGCCATCCGCCACGACCCCTCCCCACCCATAGCTGTTCCCCCTACCTGTGTGAGCCTGCTCTTGCCAGCCCCTGGAGTTGCCTGTGTGACACCCTCCTCCCCCTTTTAACTCCCCAGTTCACACAACATATATTTTTAGATTTCAGGGAGTGTTTTATGAGTTTTGAGTCTTTGGTGGTGTCTCAACACTTACTGAGGTTTATGACTGCACAAATGCAAAATTGCTAAATGACAATGCCAACTTAATGTGCATTTATTCAATTTTGACTAATCTGTTTACAAATTTAGTGTTGTTTGTACATTCTGTCCATGAACTAAACAATAAATTGATGGTTGTGTTTCACAAAGCAAGTGTACACTCCTATATCAAACTTAGCTAGTTAGCATCTTGAATTTCATCATGTTAATGAGCATGTTTGATATTATGAAACTTCCTAAGGCACTTCACAGTAGCATCAGTACAAAAAGTATGATACTGAATCACAAAAGGAGATATTAGGTTAGATGACCAAAGCCTTAGTGAAGGAGGTAGAATCTCTGCTTTTGTGCCTCCTAATCTCACTTTCCTCCTTTTGAGCACTTTTTAAGAGATTAGGAGGCTAGAAAGTGTTACTGAGGGAATTCCAGAGTTTGGGGCCTAGGTAATTGAAGGTACAACATTTAATGGTGCAACTGTTGGAATTAGGGATTTGCACAATTCACCAGAATTCGAGAAGCGTAGATATTTTTGAGGGTTGTGTGGCTAAAGGAGTTTAGAGACAGGGAGGGGGACGAATCATGGAGGAATTTGGAAACAATGAGAAAATTCTAAAGTGAAGAGATTGCTTAATGTGGAGCTTTAAAATGATGTCATTCTTAGAACATTTGGGCAATAAATAGTCATATGTACTTTGAGTTTGTTAAATTTTTAACTGTCAATTTTTGCATGTTTTTTTTGAGAGAGATATCTGTAATGAATTTAAAAACTGTCCACTTCGGCTCTCAAAGACTACCTAAACATTTCCAAATACTGAGTGCAGACCTCTCACTATTGTAACATTTTTATTTTGGAGTGCAGTTGTCAATATTGCCATTATTATTAATCGCCACCAAGTGTTGGAATTACACTATACTCATGTATTTTGCCTTAAAGTTATCACAGAAATGGGCATCCCAAGAGCAAAAGCTAATATTTAACCTGCTGACCAGCTAATTTTGCTCTTGCCTGTTACTGAGAAAATGATAATGATGTTTTTCAGAAATGGACGATGAAGACTGTGAAAGGAGGAGAACAGAGTGTCTAGATGAGATGTCCAATTTGGAGAAACAGTTTACAGATTTAAAAGAACAGTAAGTCTGACTATAGTTTTCTATTTGGTGCAACTTAGTTTATAACATTACAAACTTTAGTGCGAGATAGTAGGAACTGCAGATGCTGGAGAATCCGAGACAACAAGGTGCAGGGCTGGATGAACACAGCAGGCCAAGCAGCATCATAGGAGCAGAAACTTTAGTGCGATTTTGATTTCATGCTATACTGTTGAACATTTAGATTCTATGAACCTTCTGTTTGTAGTCATAGAGTTGTACAGCTTGGAAACAGATCTTCAGTCCAACTCAGCCATGCTGACTAGAAATCCCAAACTCATCTGGTCCCATTTGCCAGCAATTGGCCCAGATCCCTCTAAACCCTTCCTATTCATGTACCCATCCAGATGACTTTTAAATGTTGTAATTGTACCTGCCTCCAGCACTTTCTGTGGCAGTTCATTCCGTACACTCACCATCCTCTGTGTGGAAAAAGTTGTCCCTTAGCTCCCTTTTAAATCTTTCCTCTCTTACCTTAAATCTATACTCTCTAGTTTTGGACTCCCCTACCCTGGGAAAATGACCTTGGCTATTCACCCTATCTATGCCCCTCATGATTTTATAAAATTTTATAAGGTCAACCCCATCAACGTCTGAAGCTCCAGGGAAAATAGCCTCAACCTATTCAGCCTCGCTTTTTAGTTCAAACCCTCTAACCCCAGCAACATCATTGCAAATCTTTTCAATCCTATGTTCCTAAAGAAAAAGCCATGAAAATCGCAACCACCTGCACCCCCCGACTTGTTGTTTCACCATTATTTTATGGAATGCTATTTAATTAATAGGAATGGTACCTTTTATAAAGGATGCATATGTGAACAAAATCTGTATCCTCTGTGGAATACTATATGACCTCAAGTTGATATTGAAGGGTGTGAAATCTGAACCATTAGAAACCCCATGTCAGTGTCATATAATGTGAGTGTGAAAAGCAGGATACTGCATGCGCATGTTGGAAATCTGAAACAAAATCAGAAAATGTTGAAAATACCCAACAAGTTATGGGAACATCTTGGAGACTGAGTTAATGCTTCAGGCCTTACTAAGCCGAAGAATATTAAATCATTGCATTTAATGTGGGTTGCTAGTTTAAATGTTTTGTAAATGTTTCATATCAAAATTTGACAGCAAAAGTAGTAAGTTAGTAACTTGCCACATGCTTATTTAAAGTCTGCTTCATTGCCACAATTGAAAGTCAGCTGTCATGTTGCCAAAAAAAATTCTTAACTATTGTAGCATGGAAGTATCTGAATACACTTTACTCAGAGAGTAGTAAGGGCGTGGAATGCCCTGCCTGCAAAAATAGTAGACTCGCCCACTTTAAGGGCATTTAAATGGTCATTGGATAAACATATGGATGATAATGGAATAGTTTAGGTTAGATGGGCTTCAGATTGGTTTCACAGGTCGGCGCAACATCGAGGGCCGAAGGGCCTGTACTGCGCTGTAATGTTCTATGTTCTATGTTCTATGTTCTACACATCTTCATAACTTTCTGTTACTATGTTTTAAACCTTTTTAACTGCTCCACAGAAATAGTCTGGTAATAGTCATTTTATGACATTTTTCTACAATTTAAACATTCAGAAGTTATGATAATGAATTGTAGTAGTGGATATATTTTAGTATGCTCCATGATGCCAAGCCTGGGACTTCAGACACCATTTTAAGTTGCATCATTCAGTTCTATTTTGCTGTAACATTCCTGATGTAATGATGCCAGAATGCTATTTAATGCTGGTACTTCTGCTTTACATTTCACGCTCAGGCCAATGTAGCATTGTGTGACCCAATTAGCTCCATTTAGTGTGAGGAGAAGCATCTCCTCACATTCTAAGCAACAGCAATGTTCTTAAAGCTGCCCAGTTTTTGTGTGTGTGAAGGCTATTGATAACAGCAGTAGCCACATGTGGACGTAAATTTGTTTTTCATAGAATCTCTACTGTACAGGAAGAGGCCATTCGGTCCATCAAGTCTACACTGACCCTCCAACAAGCGCCCCACTCAGACACCTGCTCTATCCCCATTACCCTGCATTTACCGTGGCTAATCCACCTAGCCTGCACATCTTTGGATGCTATGGGGAAATTTAGCATGGCCAAACCACCTAACCTGCACATCTTTGGACTGTGGGAGGAAACTGGAGCACCTGGCAGAAACCCATGCTGACTCAGGGAGGACATTGCAAACTCCATAGTCACCCAAGTCTGTGATTGAGCTCGGTCCCGGGCGCTGGGAGACAGCAGTGGTAGCCACTATGCCACCCATGGGTTTTCCTGCAATAACCAGCACCCTCCTACTTGCACCTCTTCTGAAGGAAGGATGAAGCAGTATGCACATAGAAGTTGAGATAACAAGGTGTAGAGCTGGATGAACACAGCAAGCTTTCCTGCTCCTTTGCTGCTTGGCCTGCTGTGTTCATCCAGCTCTACACCTTGTTATCTCCGATTCTCCAGCATCTGCAGTTCCTACTATCTCTGCACATAGAAGTTGTTGTGAAGATGAGGGATGGAAGCAATAAGTGATGACAGGGTGTTAACAGCAAGCACAAAGTGCTGAGTGTGAGGGAAGTCGAAAGAATTAATAAGTGTTTTATATTTTAAAGTTTACGGGTAGTTCTCCTATAATGCGATAGTTGCAGTCTTGTGTGACCTTAAGCTATCGAAAATCGGGTTACAGGGTAATAGCTATAGAAAATTGGTATAACTGTACAGTAGAAAGTTCGCATTATCCAAACAGCGTCCACTATTTATCAATCGCATTACAGCTTATTTGCATTAATGAAACACATTATAGCAGAACTACTTGTACTTTAAAATTATTTCCTTTAGAGAGATTGCAACTTGGTATATGTAGTATTTAAATTTACAGGGCATAATGTTTCCTTTTTGGGAAAGATCCTGTAAAATCTTGCTATTATGATTTTATTTTCTTGCAATGGGAAAAGATGATTACCTTTACATTAAAATTGCACTTTCAGACATGCACTTAAGGTTAAGCACACAATTACTGTATCTATCTGAGAAAACTGAGACCTATCCTTTGTAGTCTTCTGTGATAGATAACATGACCACATCTGTTCCAATTCTTTCTCTAGCTACTGACTGCAATCTTCCCCTTGGCAACTGCCTGTGACTAAACCTGATTGTTCTTTACTTTGGTGTCAGTTTGTAGTTCTGACTTTATATCCATTGTATCACAGAGACAACCTATTTCTACCTTTGTATCAATTCTCAACTTTGCCTGTGCCTGGAATAAAGGTAGGTAGGTGAAGTAGCAGTGGATGACTATTGTAGAGATAATGATCATAACACAGTTACATTGAGCATCATTATGGGAAGGCACCATGAAGGAGCAAGCATAAAAGTTCTAAATTAGAGGAAGACAAACTCTACAAAGCTAACTAAAGTAGACTGATTCATAGCTACTTAAAGGCAAGTCAGTGGGAGGCATTCAAAAGTGAGATTCTCTGGGCGCAGTGTGGATATGTCCTTACAAAGTAAAAGGATGGTTCTGCCAAATTTAAAGTTCCCTGGCTATCCAGAGGCAAAGTCAGAAATCACAAGACACCAGGTTATAGTCCAACAGGTTTATTTGAAAACACCAGCTTTTGGAGCCTCCGTCCTTCAAGTGTTAGTGCGAAAGGTAAGTAAAAGATCAAAGGGTTACACCGTTGATAAGGACATACTAAACAAACCTAAGGTGCTGTTAAATCTTTAATCAGTTAGGAGGTTCTAATTGATTAATATGTATATGTTAATCTCCAAATTCCTTTCCAGTCACTGTCCTGAGAGAAGTAAAGGTTTTATCAGTGTAAAGAAGAGGTGACATTTTAGGTCAGAAAATGCATGTTAGGTGTGAGACCCTTGTTTAGAATCTGTTTGTGTTTTAGTTTAGAGTCAGACAGGTTTTATTTCTAAAGTAGGAATTTATAAAATTATAATGTGCACGGTAGCACAGTGGTTAGCACTGCCGCCTCACAGCACCAGGGACCTGGGTTCAATTCCACCCTCGGGTGACTGCCTGTGTGGAGTTTGCACGTTCTCCCAATGTCTGTGTGGGTTTCCTCCGGGTGCTCCGGTTTCCTCCCACAGTCCAAAGATGTGCAGGCTCGGTGGATTGGCCATGCTAAATTGCCCGTAGTTTTCAGGGATGTGTAGATGAGGGGGATGGGTCTGGGTGGGATGTTCTGAGGGTTGGTGCGGACTTGTTAGGCCGAAGGGCCTGTTTCCACACTCTCGGGATTCTATGATTCTATGAAAATAAAACCAGCCAAATAGTGGCTGTGTTCTTAATGAGTATTTTGTCTCTGTCTTCACAAAGGAGAGGAATGATATGGATATTCTAGTTGAAGAGGAGTGTAAAAGATTAGATAAAATAAGCATATTGAAACGTGCAGGAATTCGAAAAGATTGATTAGCCTAGCTTATTTTAATTAGAACAGAGGTGGCTGAGGGCTGATTTAATTGAGGTGCTTAATTTAAAAAAAAAGGGGCTTGAATAGAGTGGACAGTATTTAGTGCCAGTACTTCCCCTAGTAGAGAACCAGTTGCGAGGAGATGCAGATTAAAGGTGATCTCCAGACATGAGGAAAATGTTTTCACCTACGAGATGTCTGGAATTTGCTGTCTAGTTTGGTTGGAGCAGAAATTTCAATTCCTGAAAGATATCTGGATCTGCATCCAATGTACTGTAATCTGAAAGGCTACAGACTAAGTGTCGTATTAGAATGACTGGTTAGTCTATTCAGCTAGCACAGACATGATGGGCTGAATGGCCTTTCCCTGTGGTGTAACATTTTTCATTATCGTCTTACCTGCTTCTGAGATCCTTGTTCGTGACATTGTTTCATAGAATTTCATATAATCCCTACAGTGTGGCATCAGGCCCTTCGGCCCAACAAGTCCACACTGACACAGAGCATCCCACCCAGACCTATCTCCCTAATCTACACATCCCTGAACACTATGGGCAATTTAGCATGGACAATCCACCTAACCTGCACATCTTTGGACTGTGGGAGGAAACCGGAGCACCCAGAGGAAACCCACGTAGACACGGGAAGAATGTGCAAACTCCACACAGAAGTCGCCCAATGGTGGAATCGAACCCGGGTCCCTGGAGCTGTGAGGCAGCAGTGCTAACTGATGAGCCACCGTGCCGCCCAAAAAATTTTTTGTACTTTTTTTTTAATTCCAACGCCATCGGTAGAAGGTAAAGCAGTCAACAAATATAATACTAACGAGGAATAAAGCCACTTACTGTCTAATGGGACGGAATGTTGAGTTGGACTTTCTAATGGACAGATTCTTGATCAAACTGAAGCAGCATGCATTTTTTTTGTAAAAACTGTTTCATTTCTTGGCAACGTCATTCAACAAACTGCGATGTTTTGAGGAATGTAATACAGGCTTATTGTTTTTTTTTGAAATTGTGCGCAAATAATTGTTTTTTTTTCTTTCTGGAGTCATGGATATGTTCAACAAATAGACATAAAGCCACCTCTTTTACTGTATAAACTTCATTTATACATGCAGTCCATAAAGTTTTCTGTATCGCTTCCACGGAATAATTTATGCTGTATGTAATATTTATACTCAAATAGGTAACTTCTCAATAAAATCTATATATGACTAATTCACTATCTACCCCTCTTAAAGGTCAGATTATACGGCCCTTACAATCTACCTTGAGTAGGATGTGGTTATTCAAAACCTCATTTTGTGTCCAGTCCCATTCACCTTTCGGCCTTGTGCTTGCTCACCTGTATTGGTTTCCAGTCAAATACAGGTATTTTTGCACAAAAATCTTTCTCTGGTTCTCGCAGATTTTCTTTTAATGTATGGCAAGTTTTTAATACTTTCTCATATTTACATTCTGCCACTGTTATAGTTGCTTTTAAATCTGCAAATCCTCAAACATTAGAGAACCACCACTTTGGAAATTTGGCAATTATCCTTCCAAAGTTTTCCTTGGCTTCCTCACTTGCTTCCTCACGTGTTTCTTAGTAGTTTGTGTGAAGGATTTCATGTTTTTCAAGCTTCTAACATGAAATTCATGACAGATCCTCATCACTAACTGACCATCTCTATCTGAGTCTCTAGTCTTACTTTGAGTTCTTCCTACATTTTTCAGACTGTAAAAGTAGAAGCATCCAGGTACCTTAAAACTCCAACTTAGTCTTAGAAACAGAAAATTTGCTATGAAATGGTCTCACCAAAAGTGCAGAATTCAGTTGTTTTTTGTGGTGGAACTTAGATTAAATTCTTGTACAATACCTGGAAGATTACACAGCCCCCTTGAAAAAGTCAAATTCTCAAGATGTAGATCATATCCAACTTACAAGGAAACACGTAGCACTTCAGTCAGTTGGTAAAACTTTGCAATTTTATCAATTTATTTAAACAGTTTAAGTGGTACTTGATGAACACCATAGTAAAGCATAGCTTAAAGCTGTGAAAATCATGTTTAGGATAGAGTTAGAGAATATTTCTTAACCCTGTAGTCTGGCAGTTTCCCATCCTTCATGATCTCCAGTGATCTTTTCAAAGGGCATGTGTATTTGAGTCAGATGAAAATATGTTTACACAGCTCAGAGATAGCAAGCACTGCAGATGCTAGAATCGGAGACAACGCTGTGTGGAGCTGGAGGAACACAGCAGGCCAGGCAGCATCAGAGGAGCAGGAAAGTTGACGTTTCGGTTCAGGACCCTTCTTCAGAAATAGTGGGGGGTGGTGAAGGGAGCTGGCAAATAAATAGAGAAGGGGTGGGGCTGAGAAAGGTAGGTGGAATGGTGATAGGTGAATGTGGGTACACCACTGTTTTGCACCTAAACAGCTTTCTGGAGCTGGCTGCTCCGATTCTAATGCAGAATGTTAAACATTCAATTTGCAGCTTGGAAGAAATACCATAAAACTATTGCTACTGGTAGAAACCTACCCCTGCATGAGAGTGCCTACAGCAAGAAAATTGTAACAAATTGTGTGAAAAGGCAGTTGAATCCAGGAGATTAGACTCATTTATGGTATTGCAAAATGTTATATTGGGAGGATGCAGTTTAATGAGCCTTCTTTATATATGAAAAGTAGAATTTCATTTTGATTGAAGTATGTGCTGTCCTCGTGGACCCATCTCATTTTCTTCATCCTCGTTGACTTAGATATAGAAATGTATATTGAGGTACTTCTGAAATTTAAATGAGTGAAAATTTTGCAGGTTTCCAACAAAATACTACATATAACACAACTGCAAATATGGAGATCTGAAACACAACAAAATGCTGGAGAAAATCAGTGGGTCTGGCAGCATTGTGGAGACAAAAATGAAGTTAATATATTGAGTCAATGACCCTCCATCAGAACCAAAATGCTGTAAGTCTATCTGTTTTCTGATTAGGCCAGCTGTTGGAATTTATCTAATTGCTTAGAGCAAGAAGAATATCAGATCTATATAATAAGTGCTCCAGGCCCTTTCAATGAGTTAGATTGGCAAATTAATAAAAAAAAATTATTACTGAAGAAAAGCTGAAAACTGGGGAAACTCTTTAGAACAGTTCTGAAGAAGAGTCCTTATCAGATTTGAAACATTAGTTCTGTTTCTGTCTATGCAGATTCTACCAGGCTTGCTGAGCTTCTCCAGTATTTCTGTTTTTATTTCGGGTTTCCAGCATCTGCAGTATTTTATTTTTACTTGATTACTGAAGAAATATTTGAATTAGGTATTTTAATTCCTGTATTTGTTTGTTCTTTTATTGAGGTGTTTAATTACTTGTGATATCTTTCCATCTGCTGCCATCTTGACACGGAGAGTCATCATATGATAATTAACGACAGCAAGGTGTGGTTACTGCATACATTACCATAATTGCTGATTATGGAGCTGAAGGTTTTCCTAGCAAATTGTGTGTTTGGTTAATTTAGAAAAATAATCAGTAATAATGCACTGATTGAACATAAAAAAAACACAATGTTCTGTATCTGAAGCAAGGTAAAAGGCACATAGCATAGAAATTCCAAGTTGTGAGTCATGTATAAAACATCTGGCTGCAAATGTAAATCTTATGCACATATGAAGTATAACAAAAGATATAACGACCTTTGACAACACTCATTTAATTACAATCTATGTAAATTAGATGTGAGATTTGCCAGTCTTGGATTATATTTGGTTTGTCTGAAATCATTTCTAGGTGAATAACTTTACCAAATAGCCTTTATATTTTCAGGTTATATAGGGAAAGATTAAGTCAAGTGGAAGCAAAACTTGAGGAAGTTATAGCAGGAAAGGCTCCTGAATATTTGGAACCATTAGCAGCTCTACAAGAGAATATGCAAATTCGAACAAAGGTTGCAGGTAAAAATTAAACTTTAAAATTTCCTTTTTAAATGCATATTTTCATGTGCAATCCTTACAAGTCTAAAGAGGTCAATGCTATCATTGTTTTCTAAACCCAACTTGATGCAACGTTTAACAGCAACAATGTAGCTGTCAAAATAATTATGAGAAGGCAGATCCACTTGATCCATTAGGGATCTGAATGCAAGCATTGATTTAGTAGTGACAACATATGGATAAAAATCAAATCATTAATTCTCCATTTAAATGGGTGATTTTTTGGTTATAGGTATCTATAGAGAACTCTGTTTGAAGACTGTAAAGAACCAGTATGAGTGTGAAGTCCAGGCAGCATTCCAACACTGGGAGGTGAGAAGTGTTAACTTTACAGTGGTTGCCCCTACTGTTGTAGCTGCAACAGGTAGCTCGGTAAGGATCGCAGTCAGTAGGATATTCCCTCACATTGGTTCTCTCACCATCTGCAAAAATCTCCTACAATTAAGTGGCCATACTAGTAACCCCTTTTGACAAATTGACATTGAAGCTCCAAGGTGTATTCTGTGTCCACACTATCTTCCTCCAAGTGGTGCTTAACATGGAGGATTACTGCTTCATTTAATGGAGAGCATTGGTAATCAACTGAATGCTGCTATATCCATATTAGATCTGGATTGGATTCAGTCTCAATGCTGAGCATTTTTTCTTGACTGTGTTAAGCTGTTTTCACAATATGTGTGAATGGGTCCTGCCAGTGTAGCAGGAATATAAGCAATAGCTGATGGCTATGGTCCTGTAAGTGTCATTGTTAATTTTTATGAATTAATCTGTGTGATAGCACTTCCCATAGATATTTTTGAGGAGTTTTGTGATTGATCTGTGCTGAGAGTGCCTTTTTCATGTCCTAATTTGAAGCCTGGGTGCACTACCCTCTTATTTTTCATTCATTTGGCTTAATACTAAGGACTTCCCTCGTGGTGTTAGGTGTACCTACCACTGTGCTGAATAGAATAGATAAAGAAACATCTAGCAGCTCAGAACTAGCAATCTGAGATATTCTGTGGTCCAGCAGCAGCAGCAGGTGCATTACATACTACCCACAACTTGCAACTTCTGTAACTTGGCATATTCCTCTGTCTTCCTTGGGTTCACTGATTGTAGAAACACATGTTGGGATCGGCACCAGGCATGGAATGCTGACTTGGTGAAGCTACGCACTGGACTAGATATATGCAGTGTCATGGAAGCGACATGATATGGTCAGAACCTGGCCATCACACGTCATGATCAGGTCAAAACTCTGCAGACCTGCCACATTCAATATCCAATCATAGTGGATAATTCAGTAGCGAACTGGAGGAGGACGTGTCCCTCTGATGCTGGAGCTCAGTATGATAGTGCAAAAGATAAGGTTGAAATGTTTGTAACCATCCTCAGTCAGTAGTATTAATGAGATGGTCCCTCAGTCTCCTGATGCAGGTGCCAGTCTTCACCTAATTTCCTTCACCCTACGTGACATCAAGAAATGACTAAGTGCACTGCATACAGTAAAAGCTACAAGCTTACAGTATCTATACTATTGTGGAAGACTTGTCTCCAGAACTAACTCTTAATCCTTAGCTAAACTATTTTAGCAGAACTACAAAAATGGTGTTTTTCTGATTAATGTGAAAAATTGTGATAATACGAAGTGTCCACAAAAAGCAAGGCACCGTTGAGCCTACTCCCTTAGCAAAGTGATGGAAGAAGTAGGCAACAGTGTTATCAAGGGGCACTTGCTCACCCATCCTTATTTTTGGTTCTGGGAAAAACCTGGCAGCAGATCTCATGTACAGCTTTAGTCCTAACACACATTAACAGATTTTGAGAGGTGAGATGAGAGTAATTGCTCTTTACGTCAAGGCAACATTTGACTGAATGCAGGAGCCTAATAAGCCTGAAATAAATAGGATTTAATGGAAAAACTCTGGAGTTATATCTGAATGGTTATGGTTGTTGGTGTGCAATCATCTTGGCTTAGAATACTGCAATTCTCAGTGTTTGAGTGCCCAACTATAATCAACTGCTTCATCAATGATCTTCCTATGTTCATAGCATCAGAAGTGAAGCTTTTTACTAATTGAACAGTGTTTAGCTCAGTTAATGAAGCAGTCTAAGCCCCAGGCAGGAAGACCTGGACAGCCTCCAAGGTTGGGATGTAAGTGACCAGTATCATTCGGGCTACACCAGAAAATCACCGCAATTGGAGAGCTTAACCACCTTCCCTTGATAGTCAATGTCATTGCCATCACAGAGTACCCTCCCATTAATCTCCAAGGAGGAGCATTTCCCAGAAAGTAAGCTGTAGCCCCAAAAATGTTGTGGCTATTAGAACTGACCAGAGGGATAATTATTGTGACTGCATAAAACCTGGCTACCATCTAAAATGCACTTTAGGAATGTGATGCAATGCTCTTCACTTGCTTAGATGCTTGCAACTCCAAAGTCACTCAAATGACTTCGATGGGCAAAACATCCATTGGCTTAAGTCCAACCTCCTCCACTATTATGATACCATGGTTGCATTGTGTACCACCTAAAAGATGCATTGCACTGTCATACCAAGACTACTGTGTTAGCATTTGCAAAGCTTTTGATTTCCATCATTTAGAAGGCGAGGGAAGCAAATGCATGAGAATGCCGTGACCACCAGGCCAGACACCATCTTGGATATTTATTACTCTATCTTTATTATTGCCTGCAACTAGCAACATCATGGAACATTGTCATAACACCCAATGCCGTAGTTCTAGTAGGAGGACTATCACCATCTCGATGACAGCTATAGATCAGCAGTAAATGCCAGCCTTGCCAGTGGTGATAACTTCCCAAGAATAACGAAATTTTAAAAACTGGTTATGTATATGGAGTAATTCCAAATAGTTAACCTATATTCTGCTGCTTACTAGAGTGAAAAGCTCCTTCTATATGATACTGTACAAAGTGAACTGGAGGAGAGAATTCGGCGCCTTGAGGAAGACCGGCACAGCATTGACATTACTTCAGGTATGCAAGCTATTCAGTTCGCATAAGGAATATATAATGTTCTGCAGATTAGCACTTCAATACGATTAAAAATAGTTTAAAATTCTTTAAAATAAGCAAAAGAAACCAGTGTTCTATAACTGATTGCAATAATATGTGTTTGCTTCTTGTCAACCAATAAATGTGTATAAAATGACTGTGAAACTACTAGCAATTGGTATAAAAATGACTAAACATTTTCATGTTTAAAGATGCTGCTTAAATACCTAGATTAATACATTATAATCTGTATCTTTCAGAGCTCTGGAATGATGAACTACAATCCAGAAAAAATAAGAGGAAAGACCCATTTAGTCCAGACAAAAAGAAAAAGCCAGTGGTTGTCTCTGATATCCTTTTTTTGAACTACATCATTGTTCAAGCACAAAAACAAAGTTGCTGGAAAAGCTCAGCAGGTCTGGCAGCATCTGTGGAGGAGAAAACAGAGTTAACGTTTCGGGTCTGGTGACCCAACTCAGAACTTTGCTCAAGCACTTGCTTTGTTGTAAAGTCAGCTAGTAAGCAGGTACAAAAATTCCAATTGGCTTTTACCCCAACTGGGAAATCTAATAATATTGCAGAGCTTTTATTAAATTAATACCTAAACTAGTTAGTATTTTAATGTACAATTTAAGACTTCTTTCTCGTATAGAAAAAAGATTTTCATAATTTGTTAATGTTTTTTAAAATATGATCTTTCTGCATAATGTTAACTTGAAAATGATTAGATAAAACAAGCCTTATTTTAGACATTCTGTGTCTTTGTTTTAAACATGTATATCATATTTTCAGATTGTACAGAAATTTAACTAATTTTCAGAATCTGGGAATTTCCTTAACCAGCAAACGTCCTTATGTAGTTTACATGTTACAAGACCTTGATATACTGGAAGACTGGACAACTATTAGAAAAGTATGTTTAACCATATAATGTGTCCCTGATTTATAGACCTATTTTGTAATTTGAAAGTACCAGCCTATATGTCTGATTATCATTGCACATAAACAGCATAACTCTGCATTTCTTCTTAAACTGTTATTTTGAGAAACCTATGACCTTTTTTTCCTCTATATATAGCTTCTCTCAACCAAAACCAAGTTAATGTGATTGCAACAGATTGTACTTGGCAATATTTTGTGCAGAAAGATTTTGGAGCTATTGAATTTCAAATATAGTGAGCTACATGAATGAGTGTTCCAAGTGTAAGTTGAAGTACCATCTCTAAATATATGGAAAGTACCAAAGTGTTCAAAACACATCTGACGCTCATTGAAATTTATCGTTTTGTTCAATAGAAAGTTAAGCTAGTGCTTCACATAAATGCATGTTTCGAAGCAGTTATTAGTGTGCAGGATGGTTGAACATTTTATGGATATGTTTTCAAACTAACTTGAGCTAGTTTCTTGGAATAATATTTTAAATTTTCTTTATCATGTATAGAGCAACTGTAGTGTGTGATTTGTATCTTGTCAGTAGAATTATAGGAGAAGGTTTCAAATGACCTGTTACAATAATGTAACAATCATCCATTACATTAACAATTTTTAAATTAATTACTTAAATGTGTTATAATTAAAATTTCAGCCTACTGATTTCACCTTCATTATGCCATCATAACTGAAATATTTAACTCACAAAAATGAAATATTTTTGATTTAAGGTTTACATTTGATTTTGTTTAACTTTTCATGTACTTTTGCAAGGGCTAAAAACCATCTTCCTATCACAAGAATATTAACATTTATTGCCCAGTTCTTGTTGAATCAGTGGTTATTACTAGACAAAACAGAAATTTGGAGAAACTTAGCAGATCTGGCAGCATCTGTGGAGAGCAAAACAGATTGGAGGGGGTGGTGCTAGGTGTAGGAATGTGACAAATAGTTGGAAACTGTGTGCCCAGAGAGGGAGAGGGGAAAATAAAGGAGATGCTGCAATATGGATTGCTGATAGTAGGCGGGGAAGGAAGTGAATGTTGAATAGGTACTAATTGAAACTCTGAATAGTTAACAATGGTTTGGCTGTCCTGGGAACAACCTGTCCAGAAGAGGACCTGGGGTTATGGGGTGAGTAACAAACATGGAGGGAAAGTATTCACACACTGAAATTGTTAGACTAGTTGAGTCCTAAGGGCTGTAAGGTTCTAGGCAGAAGATATTGAGGTTCTTAAAAAAAAAAAAAAAACATTTATTGATTAACACAAAGCGTAAGAAGGAAATCAGGAAAGGAAAGAGGGTATATGAGATAGCATTGGCAGATATGGTTAAGGATATTCCAAAGAGATTCTACAAGTATATTAAGAGGGTAACTAGAGAGAGAGAGTAGGGCCCCTTAAAGATCAAAGAGATCATCTCTGTGTTGGACCCCAAGAGAAAGGAGAGGTATTAAATGAATATTGTCAATTTTAACTGTGGAGAAAGAAATGGAAGCTAGAGAACTCTGAAATAAATATTGATTTTTGAAAATAGTTCCCATTATGGAAGAGGAAGTTCTGGAGGTCTTAGAGAATATAAACTTGGATAAATCTCCAGGACCTCATCTAATGTATCCCAGCCTGTTGTGGGAGTTAAGGTAGGAAATTATGGGGCCCCTTGCAGAAATATTTGCATCATCTATAGCTACTGTTAAAGTGCTGGATGACTGTAGAGTGGCTAATGTTGTGCCTTTATTTAAGAAGGGTTGTAAGGAGAAACCAGGGAACTATAGACCTGTGAGTCTGACTTCGTATGTGGATAAATTGTAAAATATAGGATTAAGAATAGTCAACATGATTTTGGTGCGAGGAAAATGGTGTCTGATGAACATGGTTGAGTTTTTTGATGAAGTTACTGTTGGTGAGGGCAAAGCAGTAGACGTTGTTTAGTTGAACTTTAGTCAAGCCTTTGACAAGGTTCCACATGGTAGACTAATTAGTAAAGGTAGGTTACATGGGTTTCAGGGTAAGCTTGCCAATTGGATACATAACTGGCTTAATGGCAGAAGGCACAGAGTTGTGATAGTAGGTTATTTTTTGGGCTTGATGTCTGTGACCAGCGGTGTTCCACAGGGATTGGTTTTGGGCTCTCTTTTGTTTGTCATTTATATGAATGATTTGGATGAGAATATAAAAGGCATGGTTAGTAAGTTTGCGGACGACACCAAAATTGGTGGCATTGCAGACAGTGATGAACGTTTTCTAAGATTACAAAGGGATCTTGATCAAAGGGGTCAATGGACTGAAAAATGGCAGATGGAGTTCAGTTTGGATAAATGTGAGGAATTGCATTTTGGTGCAACAAACAATGGTAGGGACCTAGGGGTTCATCTACATGATTCTTTGAAGTTTGTCTCATATAGACAGACAGGAGGCTGGAAGAATATAGCAAGCCAGGCAGCATCTGAAGGAAAGGATCACTCAACGTTTGGGTATTACCTTTCTTCAGGACAAGATGTGGAGGTACATGGAGCTGCAGATAGAGAGGGGTGGTGGAAGTGGAATGGTGGACACTGGTAGTAGGTACGACCTGGTTGGTCGATAGGAGGGTCAGAAGGTGGAGTGGAAGGGAGGTGGTGGGGCTGGAAGGGGAGCCGGGAGATAGGTGGGAAGATTATTTGGAATTGGAGAAGTTAATGTTGAGACCTCCGGGCTGTGGGGTGCCCGGGGGAAGATAAGGTGTCGTTCTTCTAATTTGCATTCCGAATCACTGCGACACTGGATGGAGGCTGAGGACGGACATGTCGGCGGGTGAGTAGGGTGGGAAGTTGAAACAGGCGGTGACTGGGAGATTAGGTTGTCTGTTATGGGCTAGGTGAAGATGCTCAGCGAAACGGTCACCTAGTCTGCTTTTCTTCTCAGCAAAGTAGAGAAGACTACATTGGGACATCGGATGCAATAGACTAGGTTGGAGGAGATGCAGGTGAAGCTCTGTCTCACCTGGAAGGACTGTTTAGGGCCTTGAATGGAGGTGAGGGAGGTGGTATGTGAGTAGGTGTGGCATCTTTTATGGTTACAAGGGAAGGTAGTGGCCAGATTGGTGTGGCTAGTGGGGAGTGTGGCAAAGAAGACTGAGGAATTGGGGAAAATGGGATGGAGACTTTTGCAGGATACAAGGTGAAAGAAGATGTAGTTGAAATAGCTATGAGAGTCTGTGGGTTTATAGTAAAAGTCTGTCCGTAAACTCACCAGAAATGGAAACAGAGGTCAAGAAAGAGGAGGGAGGTGTCTGAGATAGACCAAATGAATTTGAGGGCAGGATGGAAGTTGTTAACGAAGTTGATGAACTGCTCCAGTTCAGCCTGGGTGCAGGATGCAGCACCAATGCAGTCATCGACGTAATGGTAGAAGAGTTGGGGAACAGTACCAGTGTACGTACTGAAGAGAGACTGTTTGACATAACAAACATGCAGGCGTAGCTGGGGCCCATGCAAATGCCCATGGCAACCCCCAGGATTTCGAGAAAGTGGGAAGAATTAAAGAAAACGTTATTGAGGGTGAGGATGAGTTTGGCAAGGTGGAGGGGGACATCGGTGGGGGTGTATTGGATCGGTCTGTTGGAGGGGAAAAAAGTAAGGGCCTGTAGGTGCCTAGTTTCATGGATAGGGACAGAACCACTGTGCCACGAAAGTACCACGCCGCC